CTTTATAGGTATCCCTAATCCTAATAAAACTCAAAATTAAGGGTACTTTCAAGCAACTAATTAATAGAAAACTCAAAATTAAAGTAACTAATTAATAGGCAAGAACTAGTTTAACTAGTGTAAAGTTCTTGCAAAATATATCTACTAAACAACAACTAAATTATGACAATAGCACAAACAATGAAATCCACATACTAATCTGCAAGTGGCAAAATTTATATCCAGATCAACAACACTGAGCCACCACAAGAAGCAAAATCTATAGCCACAAGAACACCAGAATCAAAGAAACTTGGAACAACAGAATTACATTGGAGATTCAGTAAAGAGACCACCCAAAGTAATGAAATCCATACTAACAGTAACACTGCAGCGTTAATATTGGACATATGTCTAATAAATTTGAAAAAAATTGGATATATATGTCTAATTGTTTTCAAAATTATTGAACATATGTCCAATACCAATACTAGTAATACTGGAAATAACAATACATAATACTCCAAGGCTTCTATAAAGCAATGATATGGCAAAACTACCCAAATGACCAAACTCTCCTTCATAAGAGCACCCACCAAAAACTACGAAGTAACGAAGGTTTTATTAATGCAATCTAAAATGATACCAAAACTGGTGACCCTAACGACAAAACCTATAATAAACTCTAAAATATCAGATCTTTAAATACTAAAAGCACCAGATCTGGATCTCTTGCAGTATAGATGATACCATTAATAAAATGTATTATTAATCAATTGATTTAGAATAGATGTTAGCTATACTGCAAGAGATCCCCAAATCCAAATCATTTTTTACATTTAATTGATGATTTGCCAATTAGCTAAACTAATTTTTATATGATAACATGATACAGATCATATATATGCAAAGCACAAATTGAATTTTTATAACTATAAGTAAAGTTAACAAATTTAAAATAAAATTTGATACAAAAGTAGTATAATTGATAAAACAATACCACGAGATTTTAATATCGAAACTACAAAATATAAAAACTATTTCTCAAAAAGTTTACTTTGGAGGAATATAGCATTTACTAAGTAATATTGATACATTTGTTAATATATAAGATCCAGTAAGAATTTAGAATTCAATAAGTTTTATATATTACTTGATCTTAGAAGTTTTTGATCAGACAAAAATTATTAACAATGAACTAATAGCATGACTCAAACTTTCTTATAGAACAGATTAGAGATTGTACCCGGATAGACATTTTATTATATAGCTATAATAAATTGCTCAGGTAAGTAGACAATTTAATAATGCCCGAGTAGAAAGTTTCTTGATGGGTACAAACTCTAGATCAAATGAATTTTGGCTTTGTATCTTTATAATTTGTTAAATTTTTAGCTTTGAAAAAAAGAATACAAATAGTTTAACTTAGAATTTTTTTATTTATTTCTAGGTAATAAGATCAACTAAAAACAAAAAAAAAATTAGAAAACAAATATCTGCAAATAATTTTTAAAATGAATGCTTTTGTGTATTAACTAACAGGAGGAACATCCGATCCAAACTGTGAGTGATTATATTTGTAACAGTAGCGGCTAAGTGACCCATCATTGTAAAATAATTTTTTTATATACTGCATGCCAGGTGTAGGATTAGATTTGGATCAGAAACATTTCCTTCTATTGCATTAACTTGCTAAAGGTATAAGTTTATTGTACATTAACTAACAGGAGGAAACATCTGATTCAAACTATAAGGGATTATATTTGTAACAGTGGCAGTTAAGTGACCATCATTGTGAAATAATTTTTGTATGTACTGCATGCCAGGTGTAGGATTAGGTTTGGATTGGGGATATTTTCTCCTGTTGCATTAACTTGCTAAAGGTAAAAGTTTGTGTTGATGAAAATATATTGGTAAGCAAAATATTTTATTACTTCTAATAATTACTTTAGAACTTTAGAACATTGACTCAAATTTATTTACACAGCAACTCTGTATTTCACTTAACAGCATGAGCATACGAACCTATCCAATTTTGAATCGTGTCAATTTTTGGGATATCTGTCTTTTCTATTTCACCAATTTCAACAAATTTCAGAAGTTCATAATGCATATCTTGTGTACTTATTTTATCTTTATTTCTTCTGTTTCCATTTAAAAAGAAACATTCTAACATGGCTTTTATATTTTTTTTTATTCTCGCTCCCCCTCTATTACCTAATTTTTGGTTGCCTTTTAGCAGCTACCCTTTTGTAATAGAAATTTAAGATCTATTATACTAAAGGGTCGATTAGTAAATGAAACCAATATTTATTAGACCACTTAAGTCTATATATCTTGGAATTGCGATTACAACCACTGGAACTAAATAAGTTGAATAAATTGATTTGGAAATTGAATAAAAGCAGAAAGGTATAACATATATAGATATTAAGCTATATTACTTACTATTATCTATCTTGTTTTTGTTTCTTTATTTTGATCCTCATCTTTTTAGTTTTCATATTATTAGAACTCTTTCAGTATATAAAATTAAGATTATATTGATATATTCATACCTTCTTCATTATCGTCTTCAACTAAAATAGGTATGTATATAAATTTAGATTTAATTTGAGAATGTTTGAATGATAGTACGATACTTACTAGACTCTGTATTTATTGGTATTGTCCATGTAGATTCTGGTACTATATGCTTCGATTTGGTTGGTTGTAGTCGATGAAGTAGAATATTCCAAAGTTGATTTAAATATACGGGTAAAAAATTACTCCATTCTCCAATATGAGGCAACAGGTATGCACGAACATATCTACTATATCTATCTCTTATAGACCATTCTCAAAAAAATAATTTCGAAATTTCTTTAATTGTTTTGATTTTGATTTTTGACTTTTTTGATTTTATATCTTTACTAATATTTTCCTCTATATCCATGTAATCATCACGATTTGGTTCTATATTTGCTATAGAAGTCCTTGATAAATTTTTAGCTACCTCATAAATATCATTTCCAGTTTCTATGTTGTATCCAATTCGTAAGTACCGTTTTATAGCATATGTTATCTTTAAAGAACAGATATATTATTAGCCAAAATTATACATTATTTCTATTAATTTATGTTTTACGATTTAATCTATAACTATATAGAAGTTATTTAAAATTGTAGATTTTTTTTGTGAGCAAGGGAAGGGAGGAGACAATAAGCATGATAATAATTGTGAAGAATCATCACGATTATTTTGCTAGTTGAATCCCGAATTTGTTGACAACTTTGATTTAAAAAAAAAGAAAAAAGAAAATACTAACTGCTATATAATGTGAATTGATAGTTGTTTTTGCCTCACCAGATTCTAAAAATAACCAGTTTCGAACTTCAATATCATACTATTCATGCCAGTACTCAACTATAGCCATTAACTCAGAGTTATGATAATGAGGACCATTATCAGATATCACCTTATCTATTTGGACTTTCTATCTATTTTTCAAAGATGATATCAAATAATGATACTGTAAACCAAGCATCTTGCTTAGTATCCATTGACCAGTGGTCAAATGCTTTAATATCTATTTTAGTTTTATTTTCTTTAGTGAAAACTAAAATTGTGTGTAAAGTCCAGCCACGCTTCCTAAAGAAATCTTTTTTTGTTTCATGTGCTGATTGAGATAATATATATATTTTATAATCTGCGATAAAAAGTGTACCGTCTGGATCAAGTTCAGCTAATGTTGCTTTAAATTGTGCATTTAAGTACAATTTTCGTATTTGATAAAAAAGGTAATAAAATAATTGTTCTTCGTACTCTGTTATCTGTTCATAGACAGTTGGCGGTACTGATTCTTGTATAAATTTCAAAAAGTTGAACAATTGGTCGCAATTGGAGCATGTTGTTTCATAACTATTAACACATTCATCAAAAGTATAAGGTAAACAATGGGAAATACATGGATCATGCTCGAATTTGCTATTTGTTTTAATTTTCAAATCTCTTTTGTAATACCGTTTCATATATCGCTTTAGTGTTTCGAGGTGGTCTAAAAACTTGAACTAATAAGATTGTTTAGTGAAGTAATTATGTATTAGAAATAACATATAAGAATTTTTACTATTTTTAGATCAAAGATAACATAAGATTATAGACTAACCTTATCATTTTTATGTTTAATATAATTTTGTATAATATTTTTAAAATTTTTAAAAGTTTCAAATCTATAATCATTACAGATTATTCATAGTCTACCAAGATCATCATGGTATTTAAGGTTTGTACATTCCTGCAGTCGTGTCATAAAGGTGGTTCGTTTCATACTATTTGGATAAGTTTCATAAAACTTATTCCATAAGTTATTTTTTAGATCAAGCAAATATAGAACTGGCGATTCTGTCATATTATCTACATGGTATGAACTCATTGCAACATTGTCTCTGTTTTGAAAAAATAACAAGAATTGATCTTCTTTATCATCAGATAGTGTTAGACAGTTCTTTTGGGTTTTTGCAAGTGTGGTGCGTCCATACCATAAAGTTGAGCATGTTTTCTGGCTTTATTTATGGTTTCTTGTTCAACCTAATAGCAAAAATATTATAACAGTTAAAAATTGCAAAATACTGTCGATATTTATTTATTTTAAATTACCAAAATTTGCTATTTTTAAGTAAGAAGTCAAAGTATATTGATACTAGAGGTGCTAGTGAAATTATATAATTACCAAATTTCACTTATTTAACAACAATTTTACTATATAGATGAAATTATTTCATTACTCTAATTAAATTTCACTAGTATTTTTAGTTAATATATCAAATATATTAATAGAAATTTTGTCTAGTTTCAAAAAAATTCAATAACAATTACTTAACTCTTATAAATAGAGCTCTAATTGTTAAAAAGCTTTTAATAAACTCAAGCAAAAATTAGTAACTGCTCTAATAATCTATTTTAACTACTAGAAAGAGTTTATCCTAGCTACTGATGCTTCTTATATCAGATTTAGAGCTACTTTGAATCAAATAACAGAAGATCAAAAAGAATACCCTATTGTATATACTAGCAAGAGCTTAAAAAAGAAAGAAATAAACTATAGAACCACTAAATTAGAATATACTACTATAGTATAGGCTATCAAATATTTCTATAAATATTTTAGAACTAATCATTTTACTCTTATTACTAATCACTCTACTTTGAAATAGTTAAAATTATCTCAACCTAAAGAATGATTAGGTCAATAGATTATGAAACTATAACTCTATAACTTTACTATTGTACATAAACCTAGACAAATTTATTCAAATATTGATATATTATTACAACTAAAAATCAGACATACTCTATCTCTATTTCTACAATATGAATTTAGATCACTATTAAAATTTAGTAAACTATTTAGAAACAGATGAAATTCTCACTGATTTAACAGACTTTAAAAAATAGATACTTGTTAAACAATTCAGATTTTACCAACTTAAAAACAATTTATTATACAAAAAGAATTAAAAAGATTCAGACAAATCTATTTGAGTAATTAAATAGAATAAAGTAGAATCAGTTCTCTATATGATGTATAGTCACTTAACTGCTAGATATTTAGAAATTAATGTTATATATTATAAAATATCTGAGAGATATTATTGAAATTAAATACAGTATATAGAGATATACAGAATTATATTTGCTTATGTGAGACTTGCCAAAAGAGAGAAAAAACAAAAGAAAAGAACTTTTTTATTCTATTCAAGTTGAATAAGCTTTTGAATGAATTGGTATAGATTTAGTAAGATCTTTACCAATTATTACCTAAAATAATCAATATATTATTGTAGCTACTAACTATCTTACTCGATAGCCTAAAGCAAAAGGCTATACCAGATACTAGAGTAAAAATACTAGCTAAATTTATATTCAAAGAAATTGTGTATAGATATAGCATATTAAAGATGATACTCTCTGATAATGAAAGAAACTTTATTAGTAAAATTGTTAAAATTTTGTATAAAAAATTTTTGATAAAATACTTATTTTTTTCTCTATATCATTTTTAAACTAATAGTATAATTAAATACTTGAATCAAATACTTTGCAACTCTCTTGCAAAAGTAAAAAAACAGAAAAAGATTGGGATATATATATACCTGCTATCTTATTTATATATAGAACAAAGTGATATGCAATTACAGAATATACACCTTTTCAATTGGTATATAAATAACAAGCTATACTATCTATTGAAACTACTTTACTTATAAAATCTCAAAAAACAAATCAAAAAATATTATTAGAAAATAGTATCCTACAACGAGTATTTGAGTTGATAAATAAGTTATTCTATCAACATAATTAAGCTTACAAAAATACTAACAAATCTCAGAAAAAACAGAAAGTGAAATTTAATTCTAAGATCTAACCAGAAGAATTTGAAATAGAAAATAAAGTTTGTATATAATAAAAGAATATCAAAGTATCTCAATTTATAAAGTTTAAAGAGAAACAAACAGAACTTTACATTATTAAAGCTAAACTAAACAATAAAGCTTACAAGCTTTTAACATTCAAAGGATAAATACTATTAAAATATTATAATAGTGATTATCTTGTTTACTACTATAAAAAACAGAATTGACAACCTACTGTTATCATCAAAATTTAACAATTCTGTTACTCTTCTCTTGTTTGAAACTTTATTTAATATTTAAAATGATTATTATTTAATTACAATTAGTTAGATTTAAAATTTTAGTTTATTATTATCTATTTTATTTACAAAATATTACAAAAATAATTTCTATTACTATTTTCTCAAACCCTTCTTGTACCTTCTTTTTTAAGTTTACTATTCTAACCCTTAACTTATCTCTTTTAGTAATAATCTTCCAAAGTTGAGTCTTTTAGAAAAACCTTTCTCTTGTCACTTTTAAAACTGAAAGATTTCTTTCTGATACTTCTGTCTTTAAACTTATAACTTGGTTATTTAAAGTAACCAAACAACTATAAACCAAATTTTCTTTTCTGTAATGAAGCATCTAAAGTACAAATTTAATTAGAAACTACAGACTTCTAGGGTGTAGCAACTTAGTGAAGTGGTAAAGTTGTCACATCTCCAAGTGGTTAAATATAAGTTTAATTTCTACTGAAAACAAAAATTGAATTTAAGAAAACCAGATTCAGCAACTATCATTGTGGCTAGAAAACTCAAGACCCTGTAACTGTAAATATATTAATTAATAGTTTACCAAAAACTATGAGATCTGAGAATACTTGTATAACAAAGAAGTTATACAAGAGATCGCAGAAAGCCACAGGACCAATACAGCAGTAAAGTGCTTACTTAAGAAGTCCTAAATAGAAAGATAGTACAGATCTTTAATGGTACTATCAGGATAGAATACACCCAAGGTTAATACAACTGAATGAGAACTGGGTACCAGGCAAAAATACTCTGCTAATCATACTACCAGAGCATCGACTAGAAGAAAAGAATCTGCATACAGATACTAAGAGACTAGTGTCTCTTCTAGACCATCTGAATTAGTAGTTTGAGGAGATTAACTAGAGCAGTACTGAAAAAGGAAGGTACTGGGTAAACTTGAAGGAGAGTACCAGGGTTTGGGTGAACTCTATAAGGGCAGAAGTAGGTTGTGTAGTAGTGATCAGGCCATAGTATCTAATATAGAAACTGGAATGCAAGTGGTGGGCTTTGGTCTGTGCGTATCAACTAAAGACTAGATTAGCCAAATTGTAGATACAAAAGGCTCTAGCAAGGTTTATTTCAAGGATAAAGGGCTTCTTGGACAAGAGCTTGTCTTAAAGTTCTAAGTTAGTATCAGAAAATATGGGGTATAAAGTATTCTCATTCAGTTAATAAAGTAATTATATAGATGCAAAGAGTTTAAATAGATAATCTCCTAGTTAGATTATAGATATGACATTTAGTGTAGAACTTAATAATAAGTGAACTACTTAAATAGACAACCAAAAGTTGTACATGTGGTTAGTTGTATTCTCCAAATATATATACGGTATAAAAATCATACTGTAAAAATTATAACTATAATTAAATAAAAAGAACATAACCAAAAGGTTATCTTAATATCAAAAAAAAAAAACCACAGACTTCTAAATATATAACTTGAAAAATAATAAAAGAAAACAACTAGAAAGACCTCTATTCTAAGAATATAATAAGCAAGATCTATTACTTGTTGTACTAATAGAGATAAGTTTCTATTCTATTCATACAAAAAACTATGAGTATCGAAATAAAAAAAAAAGATAAAGAAAAAAATATCTACTTGGGTTAAATACATAGTGTATTGAAATAAAAAACTAGCCAAGCCCCAAGTATCTAATAAGATAGAACTCAGTATATAATCAGAACAAGTATATATACCTTTGAACAACAACAAGATAGATGAAAAAGAAATAAACAAAGCAAAAGAAACAATAGTTTTTTGATAAAACTATAAAAAAGAAAAGACGAAGATATTAGAAAAATTTAAAAACAAGAAAAAGGAAAAAAACAAAAAAGATAAGGACCAGAAGCTATAAATAAAAGATTTTTGATATGACAAATACCAAAAATCAAAGAATAAATAGAGGAAAAATGCTTCTAACTCCACAAAAAAGATTATATGATATATGCAGAAAAATAATCACCTTTGACAATATAATTACCAAAATAAAAAATTTATAAACAATTAAAACAAATAGAGCTAATTTTAAATAAATTAGCATATAAAGTTCAGAGATCTTACTTTTTAAGAAAACAGACAGACAAAGAATTTTTAATTAATAAAATATTGTAGAAAATTTATTTTTAGATCCAAATACATAGTTGAACAAAAACTTGTTTGACAAATTAAGTAGACAAAACATTACTATATAGAATATACAAGCAAATATTTCATAAATCTATTAATTTTAGTTTATATTACTATAGATATTATAAATAGAAACTCTTGCTTCAAATATCTATTTCTTAATATGAGTTGTTTTAAAAATAGAAATAACCAACCTGACTTTTTAAAAATAGAAACTTCTGCCTTACAACAATTACAGCTCCAGACTATAGATACTTTAAATAATTTTCTTGTATTTTAGAAATTCTATTGTTATATATAATAGAACAGACATTATTATATTACTACAATTTCTACCAGAAACAGGACCAGAATTACCAACCCAATATTTGGATAATATTAATATATTGGATGATTATTTTTCAAATATAAACTTTGATGATATTACTTTTTCTATTAAATCTATAGAAGAAGAATCAGCTGACTACCTATTATAACAAGATACAGAAACTTTACAGACATAAGAAATAGAAAATAAAGTTTTTATCTAGCTTATTAAAGATTTCACAAAAGAGAAAAATAAAGTTTTTCTATAACAAAACCCTTTAGTAAAAAT